ACGGCGCTCGCAACTGCATAAGGTCATATGAGCGCCAAGGGGTGGATGTCAACAGAGAAGTCCTTACAGGGAATCAGGTTTACTCTGCTCACCTCTCTAGCTTCAACAGCACAAAGTCTGCTTCGACTATCAAGGCACCCCGGAAAAAGCGGGTCACAAGAGTGACAAACATACAAAAGAAGTAGAGGAAAATGACGATACATGTAGTAAGGATTAGGAAAGAAAAAGCAGCAGTTCCCTGTTGTAGTTCAGGCACAGTTATGAGAGTGACATTGATGAATCAGCCCATTTACAATAACTACTGTGCATAAGAACGAGAAATGTACCTAAAGACACTTCAGTCAGTGGCACCGCCCTGGGGGGTGGTCATTTAGTGCATGGAAAAAGCAAGACAAAAGGACAGAAACAGCAGAGGGAAAGAAAAGAAGAACGATAAGCCAGTTGGTTCTCTCAAAAGAAAAAATACCATTGTGAATAAAAAGATTCTTAAACAAATATTTGAGAAGACAGTAAACATAAAACTGAGACCACATTTCAAGACTCACCTCATACTTAAGTTTTTGGTTACTAAAATATTAAGTATCAAATGAGCTTAATTTTAGTTTTTTTGTGTGCATATATATAACTATTAATTAAAAAGCTCTAGCTACATCAGCATGAAGGGGGGGGACTACATTACGATTTTAGATTGGAACTTTTCAGTAAAGACAGCAACCTGGAAGCAAATGACGGTTTGGTTAAGGGGAATTCATACAGAATCCATTAAATAAATGACTCAAATTTTCACAATTCGCTCTACATAAATTCCCCACCCTCTATGAAATGTACATATCTTTCAGGCCCTCTAAGACACAAGTTTTGCAATCTAAACAGCCAACTTGAGTTTCCTGCACAGAAGAGGTTTGTTTCAAGGTTCACTCACAGTAAATAAATCCCATATATCGAATCAGGACAATTCTCGTCAGCCAGTAAGATCCTTTCAAGACACCAAAATCAGAGTCTGCATCAGCAGCCGATCTCCTCACCTGAGTCTGCTCTGTAACATCAGAGTCGATCTAAACAGCAGGAGACATGAGGTCAAGGACATTTGATAATAAAAGTAATAAATCATATTTTTAATTGCGCATTTCCACAAGGAAAGTGCTCAAAACACTTTAAAATAATCAAAAGAACATTGTTCCAAAAGTGATCCTTTCACCCCCTCTCTGTCCCTCTCTTTCTGAATCTCTTCACACTCCCTCGCTATTACAATTGAGAACTCTTGAGTGTCGGATATGGAAAAATAGTGCAATATCATTGTTACCCTTGTGATAAGAAGTTAGCTAACCCCAGCGAAGTAATTTTTGCAAAAACTAATTTGGTAAAACACCACACAGCAACCTGGTGGACGGGCTTTGTTTCTAATGTTTTTAAAAAAAATTATCGTCAAAATTCAGCCTGTCTTTGACCGAGCGTTTGGATTGGATACTTTGCTAACAACTTGTCAAATTATTGTTTAAAAATATTTTGTGGGTTAACTGATCTCATCACAAGGTTCATGAATTTAATTGCTGCAAGAAAAAATAATCATAAATGAAAATAAAGTGGGAGCAGAGGACTTTAATGACAGTGCGAAGGGGAAAAGTGGGACAAAAAACTGAACCTGAATCACATCGACAGCTTTATTTTAAATTCCCCACCTTTTGTCCAATACAGCCCGATATTCTAAAAAATGTACACTCCAAAGCAATTAATGTTAATTTATCAGTTTCTCTCAAATTCAAAGTATGCATTATTATAGAGGCAACAAGTACATATTTCTATTTTCCTTAGTCTAAAGTCTTGAGACAACTCTGTATTAAATAGCACAGCTAGCATACATCATGCGTCTGAGCTAGAACTGACTTTTTTTCTAGACCAACAAGGACATCTGACACAAAAGATTTACAATATTTTCACTCACTTTTTCTTCTGTCGATTTGCGTAGCGGCTTTGAATCTCCACTGTTTGTATCATCAGGAGTTTCATTTTTGCTATTATCCCTCGTTTTCTCATTGCCGCTGTCAGTGACCGGAGAAGTTGTCTTTGTTGTGCGCTTACGGACAAACTTGCTGCTCATTTTTTTCTTCTACAAACTGTTGAATAAGAAAAGAGAAATTATGAACTCAAAAGCTCTTTACTTTAAATGTTAATCACAAAAAAAATTTTTTTTTACGAGGAAGAAGACAATTTATAATACACATATTATATATAACAGGACAAAATCATGATAAAACCTCTGGTGGCCCTGATATTTGCAGATCATTCTGATCTATTCCTACATCATTCTTTCTCATTCACACTACTTATGAATTGTACTGCGGCATCTAAAAATATTTCCGATTCCCAAAGTTCCTTACTTTGTGCCTGAGACCTGAGAAGCAAGAGATGATGAGAATGCTGCTTTTCATGATGCCTTAATTATTATAACATTGATGAGACAGATAATTTTAGGGAGCATAAATAATATGAAGTGAAGCAAAGTCAGCAATTACTATCAGGAAACATTAAAAAATTTATTTGTGAAGCATGTATTTTTAATAGGCCCTATAATTATTCATCATCATCATCCAGTGCCAGATCTGTGACAGACATTGGCGATCATGGTTTTTCATTCATTCCTTTGCTCGGATGCTCTAAAAAAAGCTACGCTTCCCTGATCTTTCCCCGTTACCCATAGAAGGTTCCGTAAGTATGTTAATTGTTCTGGGCCTACCCCTGCCTCGCTTGCCCTCAATTTTGCCAGTGAGAGCTAGATGTTCAAGACCTTTATGTCTATTCAGGTGTCCCAAAAACTGCATTTGTCGTTTCCTTATTGTTTTTAACATTGAGCGTCCCACGTGGGCTTCATCAAGCACTATACTTCATTTGAGTTCTTTTCCTTCCACGATACTCTTAGCAGTCTTATAATTATAATATATACTCTTATAATTATTAATACAGGAAAATGTATAATGTGTCACTGGATAGCCTAAATAGTAGAGTAGGCCTACTTGACAAGTCTCGGAACGTTCATTCATGAACTTCTTCGAATTCTCAGCCTGATGTTGGCATGCGAAGGTCTTCTAACAGTAACAGGTAAAACTACTTGCATCAGGAAAAATAAGATAGGTAAGGACCTATTCGTTCATTATCAGATCCATCCCTATATTTGACTATCATCATCACTTAATCTACTGATTCTCTGCGTGTCTCAAAAACATGCACACACATAATTATAATAGGTATTTTTTTACTTTCCCTCCCGTCTCACACTCAGCTACCAGTTGTCTATTTACTACTAAATATTGATGCGCTGAACACGAATATCAACTTCATTTCCGTCGCAAATTAATAGTTTTTGAAATATTTGATTGTTTTTAACCGAGATAGACATGCTTAGGACCAATCGGGGGGTTCCAGGGGGGCCTGCCCCACTGGTGTAAAAGAAAATCTGGGGGGTTACAGGGGGGCATGCCCCCCTGTTTTTACATATAATTTGATATTTTACAGTTAGATTTGAAATTGTCTTGAAAATAATTGATAAGCGACAGTTTTAGTGGCTTTATGTGTGATCTGCAGCAAACAGTACAGCAGTTTGACCCCTGAAACAGTGCATCTGTGTGCGGGAGTGAAAGTAAAAATTTACCTTATAATATAATATTAATAGTGACATAAAGAATCTGAGCTCATCATCTTCTGACTTCTGACATAACTTCTGAGCCTGAGAATAAACATAGTCTCTTGATCTAGAATCTAGAATAGATCTACAAGAAGGCCACTAGATGAAGGGGAAAAAGGTGAATTTAAGAGTCGCATATATTATATTATTTAAACAGCAAAGCCAAGGAAAAAATATCCTAGGCCTACTAGATCTATGTCCAATCTTCTTTGCAGAATATAATACGTCGGCACAGCTGATCTCGACTCTCTATGCATGTCAACAATAAACAAGAAGGCCGGTAGTAAAACGATTGAAGTGACCTCCCCTGATAAAGATGGCTGCCCCCATAAGTTTGTTGATGACAGAAAATTTGCTGGCAACAAGAACTCAACTTTTTAAGGCTCTTCAGTTGCTTGTAACACCTTCAGCAACAAAACAAAGGCTTGAAGATGGTAAGCACTGTTTGGTTCAATATCAGATTCATCCCTTTTCCTATAACAATATTATAGAGAATCTAAAACTAGCCAACATGAGAATAGTCTGTGTCCTGTGTACTACAAGGCCACCTCTATTCTCACCCGGTGCGCGTTCACCAAATTTTGCGTTCACCCTAAACCAAAGAATTCTACACTGTGAGGAAAAATTGTAGAATTCTGTGCCGTGAACAAACGTTCCATTACAACTGTAGCCTACTAAAAGCGTACAATTTTGTCTGTGGGCAGTGGGGAGAGAGAGAGAAAGAGAGAGGAGTAGCGCGAGAATTCCGGGCAAAACAAAATGGCGACCCGCGTAGTTTGGCTCGATTCGAAAAGTTAAATAGCCGTAGCATCTTTGTAGACAACCAAATTAATTTACTTTTGTGTTTTAACATCATTTTTTAAACTTTGTTTTGGTCAATTTGATCGTCCACACCGATAGACAGTATTCAGAAAGAGACAGAGAGAGAGAGAAGAGGGGAGGAGTTGATCTTGCGAGAACTTCCGGGCGGGTGAGAATAGCCACTTTCGTACTACAAATGTATGTGTAGACTTATCAAAAAATGCAGCTAAAACTGTAAAGAAATTACATGAATTGTTTGGTGTGATTGACAACTCATCAACACGACTTTCTGTTGCCCATATTTACAAACATGTGTTCAACTTGAAAAAGAATCCAAGTGTCAACAGTGCCAAACTTGTGGAATTTATAAGTCATAAGTTCACGTTTTGTTGCTGATTTCCCTCAAGAAGAAAGTAGATCTAAGAAGAGTCAGAAAAAGTGTGCTATTCCTTCTTCGGTGGATTTTGTTACTCAAGTTACTGTTGGTCCTACTCCAACTACGTCTACTTCATCTGTGGAGACCAGGGCTATTTGTGTACTGTGTCCACAGATAAAAAAGAACTATGTGAAGCAAACTTCATTACTGAAACAGAAGTGTCGCCGCCTGAAGCAGGAGAGAAATAATGTTACCCACCTTTATCAGGTACGTCGGGTAAATCAGTTCAAGAAGCGAGTTGCGTTAACGATCAAGGACCTGCGGGAAAAGTGTTCTCAACTACGCAAGGAGAATCGATCACTACGTTTCCAGCTAGCCAAAAGTACTAAGAAAGAGTTAAAGCGAGAGAACCAATGTCTCAAACGGAAGCTAAGTTCTATGGAAGGGATCGTGGATGAGAAGGCAAGGGTGACGAAGAAGTTGAGGAAAGAGGTGTGTGCACTGAGGACCGAGCTAGAATGTTCAGAAATTGACATCATCGATAAAGAAATTAAGCTGGAGGAGGAGAAGCGTTCTCTGATTTTTTCAGACCCACTACGGAAATGTGTTTATTTTTGTCTTATGTTTAATGTGCCTATAGAAGCCACCAGTAAAGTCATTCTGTATCTTGGAGCATGTCTCGGTTCAGATATAAAGCATGTGCCTCATCCCTCAACCGTCGCCAGATGTGCATGAGTTAGGCGTGCTCTGTGATGTGCAGACGGCCGAGTTCATGCTGCAGGCTCAAAGTCTCACCTTAGCCTGGGATGCCACCACTCTCAAAGATGATCATATAAACCAGATCATCATCACCTCGGAGGGAGGCGCCATGGTGCTAACAACTGATGTTCTCCCGGGTGGAACAGGAGACGACTATGCCGAACACCTGGCAAGCAGTATTTGCCACATCGCTGCTGTTCACAGTCGCTTCCACAGTACCGACTACACATCAGTGCTGAACACCATTGTTCAGAAGTTCCGTTGCACAATGACAGATCATGCGTCTGTAAATCACTGCGCAGCTGTGCGGCTCATGAACCAGCTGCAGATCAGCCTCCTGGAGTTGAATTGTCAACTTCATCCCTTAAAGTGCTTTGCTTCAACAACGAGAGAGGCCCTCCTTGCCCACGAAAAAGCTGCAGGGTCGACCAGAAGCAAGACGTTTGGGCAGACAGCAGGAGCTGTGAATGTCATTGCAGCTATCTCCAAACTCAGGTTAGTCTTGTAGTCCTATTTCAGTATGACTTTTTATTATTAATGTCAGTACAAACAATCCTCTAAGTGCTAGCTAGCACAATGGCTTAATGTACAGTTAATTAGATAACATTCCAGAGAGGGGTTTATCCATAGGTAAATTGTTTCTTCGAGAAAGTACACATTTTATCCCCAGACTTGTACTCTATGCAAGTAGGATGGAAATGAAATTATGGTCAGGTAACACCGCTTTACCATATTGAAAAGACTGCAAACTACCATATTATTGAAAAGACTGCGAACAGTAATGTTTTAACATGGCCCAAAAAAATAATTTCATCCGGACAAAATTCAAGCAGGATTGCTATATATATATTTTTTTTTCCTTGTGTATTATTTATAAAAAAAAAGAAGAAGTGATTATTTAATCTTGTGGTTCCATTTTTCTTTCTTCAGATATAAAGATGGGAAAGGTGATCCCACTGGGTTCAAGTCTTTTCTGAAGGCCGAAAGGATCGACGGGCGACTGCTCATCAGATATGTGGGGAACCGCCTGCATGCTTTGTTCCACCTCGGCGCATCAATCTTTTATCTGAAGGAAAAACTTCTGACCTACCTGAAGAGATGCAGTCAACAGGCTCTACGACTTGCAGTGATAGGTAAATATAAAATACTAAATGAAACATCCATGTAAACATGCGACACATCACGAACTTGCTCTTTTGATGCAGAGGCAAACTAATAGCTTTGTTTCTTTTACTTACAGATTCAGCGCTGGCGAATTATAATAAATGTACTTATTTTTATAATATTTTGTTAAATTAAAAATTTAAAGTAAAGACAATGATCAACAAGATCCATTCATGCAAACACAAATTTGCAACTTACTTTCCTGAGTCAAAATGTGACTCTTTTATTTTACAAATTCAGCCCCTGATGACAATGTTTACTATTGTGGACATCACAAAATAGCAACTTTTGTCATTACACTCCTGATTTTATGTTTCATGCACATTTCAGCCGACTTGACTGACAACCTGATCCTGACCCACTTGCAAGTTCTTGGCCTCTTTGGGAAGGTCGTCACTGGCCCATGGATGGCAGTGATATATTCGTCTGCAACTGACAGGGACCATATGGAAAAGGTAGGCTACTTTTTTAAAAGATGCTGACATGTATTTTTAAAACTACCTGTAATTCAATAATACTGGAAGAGAATCTTTTTCTTGCGAAAGGTAATGTATACACCAAAAAAAAATGAAGTAGGAGAAGAGGGCATGTACGTGACTGTACAAACTAAAGGTCTCTTTTTAATTAGTATGGTATCTGGAATAAACAACAACTGTTCCATCATAATATCCTAACGTCTGACTGAAAAGCCTGTTGTACCCACAAAGCTCTTACTCTTACATGTATGTCTGATGTTTTTCTTTCTCTACAGACTCAGACATTTCTGCAGTGTGTGGACTTTGTGGAAGCAATCAGCAAATGCCCAGAGTTACTGATGACCACCAAAACAGATGGGTTTGGCCGGGAACTCCCTTATGACGAAGTTTTGGCTTCCCTTCGTGCTGCACCAGCATCTCAACACTTCAAAGAAGCTGTAGCGCTAGTCGCCTCCCGGGTCCATCTAAAGCTCGAAAAGCAGCTGAAGAAATACCATGAGGATCCAGCTTACCTCACAACAAGCAAAGAGATTCAGGCCCAGACAGCATCTGCCTCCGTTCACAACATGGTGTGTGAACAGGGACTTGGAATGATCGACTGCCTTTACCGGAGAGCACCAAAGGCGGCTATGAAAACCTTGGATGCCAGAGTGAGAGCCCAGCTCAACCGCACCATGGATTGGCTCGACACCATGGACAGACAACATCAACATGTGCTCCTCGCAAATGCAAGGAAAGAAGGTGCTGTGTCGCGCAGGAAAGCACTGGAAGAGAAGCAGCTCCTTGAAAGGAAAATTCTGCAGCGGCAACAGGAGAAAGGGCAGGAGAGAGAGATGATGACAAGGAGACAGAAAGAGAAAGAAGTGCTGAGTGCCATGAAGAAAGGTGACATCAGAGGAATGATGGATGGTGTCAGTGAACAGTGTGTTGCCTTCATTGAGGATTTGTTGGAAGGACGGAAGGGGACAGTTTTCAGACATGTTTGGTCAACGAAAGATGGGAGACATGTTTTTTATTTTGCACGACTGGGAAAATCTAAATTAGAGAAAGGAAAGGGTGTTAAGAAAGTGTGGGTGAGCTACTGGCAAGATGGTGAAGCAGATGCTGTGGATTATTTGTTGACTGTTCACAGTATTGTCACAGACGCTCTCCTTGGGGACGTCTTATTTTGTTGAAATGGAATACCCTGGCCCTTATACTCTGTATGTCTGCTGTCTGTGAGTAAGTACACTGTAACTACCTTTATGGTTTTGTGATTTTTAATTGCCTTTTAATGTTTTTGTTGCGCAATTTGACGCGGTTTTTATTACATATATTATATCATATAATCACTACATTCAATCTGAATTTTCACCGTCATAAAATGGGTTTTATTTGGGAAATAGTTTCTATTAAAAGATGAATATATATGCTAGAGTCATTCAAGTAATTTTATTGAAAGTTTTGTGAGAATTGATTGAGTTTTAACGATTTTGTGGATGCTTTCTCGTTCAACACTCCGCAACTTTGATTGAAAAAAATTACATAGTCACCAAAGTTGACTTGATTTTTTAGCAACTTAATAAGGTATTAATGGGAAATAGCATTGTCTAATAAATGAAGCATAGTATGAAGCATTTTTGCTGAAAGTTTGGTGAGAATTGATTGAGTTTTAGTGATTTTATTGAGGAATTTGTGTTTCTGCTGTCATTTTCCCGTCACACTTTTTTGACGGAAACCTTATATAAAAGTCACCGATATTTTTAGCACATTTTACCCCATAACTTTTGAACTAATTAAGATATAAAGATAATTTTTGCACCACTGTTTTTGTCTCACTGTCCCCTTTCATTTAAGCTTACTTCCATCATGATACATGGGGTTTGAAAATTTAGTGCAAGTACCTACGTGTGGAGTTCTCGCTATTCTCCACGGTAGCGTCAATTGCCACCGAGTGACACGGTGGCAATTGACAAAAATTGACTTTTTGTCAATTGCCACTGAGTGAAGTGGTGTCAAGTCTGAAAAC